TTTATATTAATCACTCATCTCCATATAATTAGTAATAAAATAAATCAATTTATATAAAAAACTATATAAAACTAAAATATAAATACATATAAAACTGTTTTTACACTTTACTCCTTTTAGTCTTTTTATTATAATATTACATATTCTAAATATTTTATAAATAATAGTTATAATAAATATTTTTATAAAACTATTTTTAAAGTTTATTCCATTTTTTGTGTCTATTTTTTTGTCATTATCACAAAGGCTTGGATAAAGATGAAGCATGTTTTTTTTTTTTTCAATGTTAAAATACTTTATCTGTAAATTATTTAACATAACTTCCTGCATGCTGTATGTTTTATGGTTAGTTTATAAAGCCATCATAAAGTGTAAAAAAAAAAGAAAAGAATACTGCCTGTTTTTACATTTTCAAGTATCTGACTATGCAATCCAAATAATCATTTCCTTAGGTTTGTGTTCTGTGGTCATGCATATTAATTCTGAGTCTGTTCTTTTTTTCAGAGTTTTCTCAGTAGAAGACTGAAGGGGTCCATTAAGCGGGCCAAGAGTCAGCCCAAACTGGACCGAACCAGCAGCTTCCGCCACATGATCCTCCCTCGTTTCCGCAGCGCCGACCAGGACCGGTACCGTCCAAACTCTTCCTCCCATAATGCCATGCTGAAACAGTGCCGTGTCAAGATATTCCACTTCAAAGCCTCTTTGGTACGGTGGCCGAGAGCTCAATGCGCTGCAACTTAACAAAACACATGCAAATAGATAAAGCACCAGCAAATTAAGAAAACATCATCATCATCAGTTTGACAACACGTGCTGCAAATACTCAAAATACAGAAACGTGCTGCAAATACGCACAATACAGAAAAACATTGCAAGTAGCACAGACCACAACAGAACCCTTACGAAAATTAACCATGGTTTTACTACAAATAAAACCAAATGGTTACTATTGGATTTAATTTAACCATGGATTTGCTACACGGTAGTTATCATGTTTTTTTTTTTGGTGTATTGATTACCAAAGTTGTACAAATACCATGGTTAAACTATTGTTAGTGTAGCAAAACCATGAGCAATTTGTGGTTACCATGGTAACTATATTAACCTTTCAGAGGAGACATTGATAAGCATGTCTCAGCCAGGTTCGTCACATTTCCGATGTGGTCTGTGAGTATTTGCAGCATGTGTGTTGTCAAACTGATGAAGATGTTTTCTTAAGTTGCTGGTGTTTTTTTTTTTTCTATTTGCATGTGTTTTTTCATTTGCAGCGCGTTGAGCTCTCTCGGCCACCATACATTGGTGTGAATGAGTGTTGTACAGTCAAAAAGGGACAGTTTGCCCAACAAATAAAATTCTGTCATCATTTACTCACCCTCAAGTTGTTCCAGACCTGTACGAGTTGAACTTTCTTATGTTGACTATGGAAGTCAATGGCTACCGTTAACTGTTTGGCCACAAACATTCTTCAAAATATCTTCTTTTGTGTTCAACAGAAGGGAAAGAACTCATACAGGTTTGAAACAACATGAGGGTCAGTCAAAGATGACAGAATGCTTATTATCCCTTTGAAGGGATAGTTCACTCACAAATGTGCATGTGTTATTTTCTTTCTTCTGTGAAACACAAAATGAGATCCAAACTGCTCTTTTTTCAGTGGTTTGTGGTGAATTATACTGTCAAACTCCAAAAAAGCACCAGAAAAGCATCATAAAAAGAGTTCAAATGACTAGTGCATTGCATTATATGGTAAGGTAGAGAGAGAGAGAGTGAAGGAGTCGTTTTGTGTTTCATAAAAGAATTAAAAATAGTGTCAGATTGGAATAAAATAGAGGTCAGCAAATCATGATTTTTGGATGAAATGCTCCGTTAAAGGCTGGTTTGTACTGGAGTTTAAATCTCTCAATCTGGAAAATTCCTTAATATCCTTCTTCAAGCATCCCGACAGGTGCTGAGGTGCTCTTGTCACGGTTTATTCATTCATTTATTCATGCTCAGAGCTCTAAGCTCACCCACGGTCAGCCTGTGGTCTTCTAGAAAAAGGCAGGTCATGGTTTTTGAAGTTCATTGCTCAGTTTGGACAGGGAAGTGCTCCACTGACGTTTGGTTTTCAAAGAGGATGTTTTCGCTGTGTTGTAGCTTTGAAATGAAGGCTGTGCTGCTGACCGTTTTGAGTAATTCAAACAGACAACTCCTCTTTCATATAATCGTTTGATTCAACCCTTAACTGGAATGGGAGTGAGCTGGATTGTGGTATGATGCACAAATGGAGTCTAACAGCTGGAGTGGCAGCGTGGGGGCAGAATTTCAGTCCTGATCTCAAAGAGAACTGATAGTCAGGATCCAATCAAATTTGATATGCCAGCAATTATGCGTTGGAATTTTGTGTAGAAACCTCACTTATCTTTTGGATTTGACTGACCGCGTCCCAAAAGCTTGTTTGTGTAGATGTGAATGGGATAATTCATCCAAATTCTGTTCCGAGTGTCGTTCCAAGCACAAAATGAGGATCTTTGGAAAATGTCCAAATGGTTTTTTCCATACAAATGAAAGTTAATGGTGAATTATCCTGTCAGGCTGAATAAAATATAAAAATAAAACTCCATAAAAGTGGCTTGTATGATAGCTTTGTGCAATGAACAGACTTTGTTCGTCTCAGTTGCTAAATACATAATAGCTTTCCAAGAAGAATAATCCCAGTCTCCTCGCCTGCTCAAAAGCCAAACATAAAGGAGGATGGATGTTATGTTCAAAAATAAAATGTACAGTATGAGATAAAACATGTAAAATCGAAAGCACCCCGCTGATTAGTTTGCGGTTGTATTGCAAGATTGTTTCGATCACCTTAATGTTTAATTTTTTTTTTATGTTTGCAGTGTAATTAGAATGCATTTTGAATGTTATTAAAAATACAAAAAATAAGAAATACATGAAAAATTTAAAATAAATATTCACTAAAAAGTAAAATGTTATCAAAATACACTGAAAGTCCACAAATAGAAGTGTTATTTTATGCTCACCAAGGCTGTTTTTGTTTGATCAAAAATACAGTAAAACAGTAATATTGTGATATAATAAATATTACAAAATACAATACATTTTACAGAAAATATTTTACAGAAAATAATTTTACAATACATATTGCAAAATACAAATAAATATTACAGAAAATAATTGTTTTGTTTTAAAATATATTTTATGTAATATATTTATTAGGGCAAAGCTGAATTTTCAGTCTTCAGTGTCACATGATCCTTCAGAAAGCATTCTAATATGCTGATTTGCTGCTCATGAAACATTTCTTATTGTCATTGTTGAAAACAGTTGTACTGCTTAATATGTTTTGCACAAATCGTGCTACTTTTTATGATTCTTTGATAAATAGAAAGTTCAAAAGAACAACATTTATTTGAAATATAAATATTTTGTAACATTATAAATGACTGTCACTTTTGATCTTTTTAATGCATCTTTGCTGAATAAAAGTATCATCTTCCTTGTGTGTGTGTGTGTGTGTGTGTGTGTAAATGTATATAAATATAAATTATATTCATATAAATATATTTATATAAATTCAATTATATCAATGATTTAATTCAGCAGACAATTGATAAATAGTGCATGAGTTCGTGAGACTACTTTTATGATAATTTTTTGGTGCTTTAATATCATTTTTGTAGCTTGACAGCCCCTGCTTTCTTTGTATGGATAAAAGCTCCTTGGTCATCCTGCTAAACATCTTCTTTTGTGTTCCTTGAAACAGAACAGTCATTTTTCCATCTCTGTCCTGTTGTCCTCTTGTTACTGCTCAGTCCTTCATTCTGTTTGTCTGTCTGTCTGTCTGTCTGTCTTTGTCTTCCTCCTTTCAGTTCCCACGGTTTACGGAACATTTTGATTTCCTCTGAGAAGTCTCTTGCTGTCTCTCTACTTGCTCTCTCTCTCTCTCTCTCTCTCTCTCTCTCTCTCCCCCCCTCCCTCCTCCACTCGCTCTATCATTTCTTTCATTCTGACTCACTCCTTTGGGTCTATTTTTATACCTTCCATCTCTTTCTCTCTCTCTCCCCCACACTGTATGTACTTAACGCTGTGAGGCTGAATGTATACATATACAGTGAGTCTCAGAAGACGCAGGGGAAGCGATACATCACTAGTAGGGATCTAACATTTTATCATACTTTTTCTCTTGATATTTATATAATTGTTCTCGATAAGCTTGTCAATCTTCTCTTCAACTCTTTCAAGGTTTTGTGGCTGTAAACTGTGAAGTGAGTGTATGTGTGTGTGTGTGTGTGTGTGTGTGTGTGTGGGTGGGTGGGATGCATTTCAGCATTTCCAATAAACTAAACACTAAGCTATTGATTCTTAGTGAATTCTCGCCAAATGTTCAATTGCTCATGATTTATCTCATGATTCGTGATAGAGGCTGATGTTGTTCTCCATAAATCACAGAAAAAGAACTTCCAAGGAAAGTCGACTTGTGTAATATCAAATGAAATACTGACCTCGTCATGTCGGCGTGTGATGTAAGCTCAACCTGTGAGCGTCTTCTCTCTCAGACCTGCTGTTCTTGCTCCCTCACAGGACTCGTCTGATGCAGAGCTTCAAAGAATCACACTCCCATGAGTCTTTGCTGTCTCCCAGCAGCGCAGCCGAGGCCTTGGATCTGACACTTGATGAAGATGCGGTCATCAAGCCTGTTCACTCCAGTATACTCGGGCAGGAGTACTGTTTTGAGGTGATCTAGAGCAAACTATACACTTCAGACTCATAAGTTGCATGATTGATTAATTTAGTACAGTTCTAATGGAGCAATTTCACATATTTAAATGTATTTCTACATCTATCTATCTATCTATCTATCTATTTATCTATCTATCTATCTATCTATCTATCTATCTATCTATCTAAGCTCCGTGATGTCGTCATGGAGGAGTGCAAGAGGACTCCAGTGGCAACCTGTGAAGCTCTGGTGAACTCCATGCCCAAGAGGGTTAAGGCAGTGCTGGAAAATAATGGTGGCCACACAAAATATTGACACTTTGGGCCCAATTTGGACATTTTCACTTAGGGGTGAAAATATTTTTTGAAAGTTTTTGTATAAAATATTTACAAAAATGTGAGGGGTGTACTCACTTCTGTGAGATACTGTGTATATATATATATATATATACTGTATATATATTGCTCTATCATTCTATGAAATGAAGAACAACAAAGAAATCTGTGAATGTTCTGTCAGTTTCACTTGGTGCCACTATTGACACAGAAATCACATTTAATCTTAAATCATCAAATGTGTGACTGTATTAACTCCAGTGCCCTGTGGAATTTTGTTGCTCTGTCTCATAATTACGCTGATGGTTGAAATAGTGAAACTCCTCATTCCTTTACTTAGGTTATAACTTCTTCAGGAACAAAGTGTTTTGCCTGTCGGTCGGCTGCGGAGCGAGACAAATGGATAGAGAATCTGCAGAGAGCTGTCAAACCAAACAAAGTGAGTGTAAAGAAGAAAAAGAAAAGTAGAGCTCTCGACTCTCTTTCCTCTTCTTCCATGACTGCATCAGTCTACTTCAGTAACAACCTCTCCTGTCATTTCCATCTTTACACTCATTTCACCCTCTACTGGTATACTTGTCGGATTCCTGAATGAACTTGAAACAGCTTCCATGTGCTGTCCTGCCTCATAATGAAACAAATGCTTTCTTTTTTTAGTCTGGTATACTTAGATGTATCCCAAAGGCTGATACAGAATGCTGGATTCACCTGCAGATGTCTATTGGCTGTGTCTGTCATGAGGGTTTTGAATGGGTGGGCTTTGAAAAGAGAGCGGTGTGGATTGACTCGTCCAGATGTTCAGGCAGCGGGAGTTTGGGCTGAATCGTGTTGTGTGGAGAACATGGGCACAGGCGTCCAAAAATGATCGGCCCGCTCAGTCTTGCAACAGATGCGTTGTCAATATTACAATAAATGAGGACAGACCAAGGGTGTTCATTAGTTTATTAGCTGATTAGTTGAAGAAGTTTCTGAAGTGGTAGAAAAAGCCACAGATGTGCATCACTGATAAGTTCACAGCAAACCACTGAAGCACTCAAAAGAGTTGAACATATGTTACCATGATAATATCATGATTTTGGACATGTACCATAGGAATACAGTGGGGTTTTACCATAGTTTCTTTGAGGTAGTCACAGATGGAGTCTCCATCTGTTCACTGACCGTCAAAACTGGAAAGTACAACCAGAAAGCTCTAATCAGAATTAATACATAACTTTTGGGATTCAGGTTGCACAGGTTTTTACCAGTCCAACAGAAAACTAAGTTATGTTTATGAGTGCAATGTTAGCTTTGTGTGAATGTGTGAAATCATCACCATGTGTTCACTACTGTTTTGAAAGATTTTCAAAGTTTTAAGGTGCTCAGTAACAAGTAAATTAGATATCCACAATCAGAACAGTATACTTCATTTTATTTGTTGAATATTATAACTATATTATTAGTATTATAAGTCTATGATTAATAAATGAAGGGTTAATATAAATATAATAATATTTTGAATATAAAGTTCATTTAATAATAATAATAATAATAATAATAATAATAATAATTGCTATTTATTATTTTAGGATGGTCAGAACTTCAGATCATATATAAATATAAATATTCTAAATATAAATATATTAATAATAAATCAAATCAAATTACCTTCACTGTCACATTTACATTTATAAATTTAGCTATGTTTATTTATAATAAATGTATTAATGTCAGGAAAATGTCATATCTATTAACAATAACAATTATTACTATTATTATTATTATAGGATGGACAGAAATTTAATATATACATTTAAATTATATAAATATATTTATAAAACACATTTTGTTCATAAAATAATAATTATTATTATTGCTATTTATTACTTTAGGATAGACATAAATTCAGATTATATATATAAATATTATAAATCTAAATTTATTAATAATAATGTTTTGTAAATATAAATATATAAACATAAAATGTACTTTATATTTATAATGATAATAATAAATATTATAATTACAGTTATTGAGTTTAATTGCTATTTATTGTTTTAGAATGTACAGATTTTTTTTTTCATGACTGTAGCATGTTATCTTCGCTTTATTTTTTTTAATAAAAGGACTGGAGCTTTGGAAATCAGTTTTTCAAATCACTTTTTTATATTTAATGCATCTATGATTGCCAGTAGAAAGTGGCATTTTGATGGTTCTAATGACTCATCATTCTGTGAGACCACTCCGGCACTTTAGACACGCTGTAGATGTTAGACTAACAGTAGTTCAGATCATTATCCTTTCTAAATCACTGCAGTCTCTCCTGTCTGTCCGCATGCTTGATGACACATTTGAAGTGCTGCAAACCCCCTCACCACCCTCGCTTACAGTTTATATGCTGCAAATATGATTGTGTTGGCATTACTGTCTGTGTTTCCCATACCCAGGACAACAGTCGACGCGTCGACAACGTTCTGAAGCTGTGGATCATCGAGGCACGTGAACTCCCACCCAAAAAGCGCTATTATTGTGAACTGTGCTTGGATGACATGCTATACGCCCGCACCACCAGCAAACCCCGAACCGATACTGTCTTCTGGGGTGAGCACTTTGAGTTCAACAACCTGCCAGCTGTCCGCAACCTCCGCCTTCATCTTTACAAAGAGACAGACAAGAAAAGACGCAAGGTAAAGGACCACCTCACACTCTTTATATATATATATAAAAAATAAAAAATGTACATATAAAAATATGTATTTTAAAAAGAAAATATATTAAAAAAATTAAGTGCTATATTTTATGCTAATATAAATGTAATTCTATATAATCAAAAGTGTATAGTAGCATAATATTAATAGTATTTTTATTAAATATTTTTTATAATATACAAATATATAATATTCAATATATATAATATTTGTGTATATATTCATTATTATGTGTGTGCGGTCAGAACTTCAGATCATATATAAATATAAATATTCTAAATATAAATATATTAATAATAAATCAAATCAAATTACCTTCACTGTCACATTTACATTTATAAATTTAGCTATGTTTATTTATAATAAATGTATTAATGTCAGGAAAATGTCATATCTATTAACAATAACAATTATTACTATTATTATTATTATAGGATGGACAGAAATTTAATATATACATTTAAATTATATAAATATATTTATAAAACACATTTTGTTCATAAAATAATAATTATTATTATTGCTATTTATTACTTTAGGATAGACATAAATTCAGATTATATATATAAATATTATAAATCTAAATTTATTAATAATAATGTTTTGTAAATATAAATATATAAACATAAAATGTACTTTATATTTATAATGATAATAATAAATATTATAATTACAGTTATTGAGTTTAATTGCTATTTATTGTTTTAGAATGTACAGATTTTTTTTTTCATGACTGTAGCATGTTATCTTCGCTTTATTTTTTTTAATAAAAGGACTGGAGCTTTGGAAATCAGTTTTTCAAATCACTTTTTTATATTTAATGCATCTATGATTGCCAGTAGAAAGTGGCATTTTGATGGTTCTAATGACTCATCATTCTGTGAGACCACTCCGGCACTTTAGACACGCTGTAGATGTTAGACTAACAGTAGTTCAGATCATTATCCTTTCTAAATCACTGCAGTCTCTCCTGTCTGTCCGCATGCTTGATGACACATTTGAAGTGCTGCAAACCCCCTCACCACCCTCGCTTACAGTTTATATGCTGCAAATATGATTGTGTTGGCATTACTGTCTGTGTTTCCCATACCCAGGACAACAGTCGACGCGTCGACAACGTTCTGAAGCTGTGGATCATCGAGGCACGTGAACTCCCACCCAAAAAGCGCTATTATTGTGAACTGTGCTTGGATGACATGCTATACGCCCGCACCACCAGCAAACCCCGAACCGATACTGTCTTCTGGGTTAATATTGTTTATAAATTAATTATTATTTAAAAATTAAAGTGTGTATATAAAAATATGTTAAATGACTCCCATAGACTCAAAAACTGTTTTTTTTTTTTTTTTGCAAATAATGCTAGCAAATAATTCTTCAAGGCTGTGAGACCACTCCGGCACTTTAGACACGCTGTAGATGTTAGACTAACAGTAGTTCAGATCATTATCCTTTCTAAATCACTGCAGTCTCTCCTGTCTGTCCGCATGCTTGATGACACATTTGAAGTGCTGCAAACCCCCTCACCACCCTCGCTTACAGTTTATATGCTGCAAATATGATTGTGTTGGCATTACTGTCTGTGTTTCCCATACCCAGGACAACAGTCGACGCGTCGACAACGTTCTGAAGCTGTGGATCATCGAGGCACGTGAACTCCCACCCAAAAAGCGCTATTATTGTGAACTGTGCTTGGATGACATGCTATACGCCCGCACCACCAGCAAACCCCGAACCGATACTGTCTTCTGGGGTGAGCACTTTGAGTTCAACAACCTGCCAGCTGTCCGCAACCTCCGCCTTCATCTTTACAAAGAGACAGACAAGAAAAGACGCAAGGTAAAGGACCACCTCACACTCTTTATATATATATATAAAAAATAAAAAATGTACATATAAAAATATGTATTTTAAAAAGAAAATATATTAAAAAAATTAAGTGCTATATTTTATGCTAATATAAATGTAATTCTATATAATCAAAAGTGTATAGTAGCATAATATTAATAGTATTTTTATTAAATATTTTTTATAATATACAAATATATAATATTCAATATATATAATATTTGTGTATATATTCATTATTATGTGTGTGCATAATTTATGCATTAATAAATGTACATTATATATGTATATATATATATATATATATATACACACAATTAATAAATATAATATTTTTTACAACATATACAGTATATGCATATATTAATATCTATTAATTTTATTTATTTATATTTAATATTGTTTATAAATTAATTATTATTTAAAAATTAAAGTGTGTATATAAAAATATGTTAAATGACTCCCATAGACTCAAAAACTAATAATGCTTCAAGGCAATTGTCAATTAAAAATATAAACAAAGATGAGCCTTTGATATGTCTTACTCCAACTTCCTTTTTCAGCAGGAAATGCAAAACTCAAAGAAAATAAAAAGTACAAAATACAAAAGTGCACTTGTCAAGCAATTCAGCAGTTTCTGACTTTGCTGCAATTGATTGTAGCTAAAGGACACTGGCATTTCATTAGCATCCTGCTATCTTAAGGTGAATGATCATCATTTGTTTCATCAATTTCTTTGACCATAACAGGAGAAGAGCACATATCTGGGCTTGATCAGCATTCCCATTTCCAGCATCACTGGTCGTCAGTTTGTGGAGCAATGGTACCCCGTCATTCAGCCCAGTGTCCTGGCCAAGGGTGGCGGTGTTGGAGGGGGCAAAATCATCAACGCCTCCCTGCGGCTCAAGTCGCGCTTTCAGACCATGAGCATCCTGCCGATGGAGCTGTATAAAGAGTTCGCAGAGTATGTGACCAACAACTACCGTACGCTGTGCGCCGTTCTGGAGCCGCTGCTGAGTGTCAAGAGCAAAGAGGAAGTGGCCTGTGCTCTGGTGCACATCCTGCAGAGCACAGGGAAGGCCAAGGTATAACTTTGTTTGAATAATGTTTGTTGTTGTAAGTAGGTTATTTACTATGTTCCAAAAACCTAGTGAGCTGCCTAACTAGACAGCATTTTAGAACATCATATGTGTGCTCCTGACCCAAAATAGTATGACAAAGACTGAGTTAAGTAAAGAACATTATTTTAATTAGCCAATTAGATGCTTTCCTCTCCATGTATAACATTTTACCATGTTAAATCCAAAAGTCAGAGAAAATTAGCAGAAGACTGCTAATGACCTTCTAATATTTGATTTAATAGTGAAAATTATTGAAAATTGACTATTTTACTTAATATGTGTATATGTTGTTATTTTTATGTATGCATTTCGGGAAATGAAAATGTGTGTGTAATATATTACCATGTTGAAAAAATCTGCGACTTAATGTAGACCTGCTAATATTTCATTAAATACTGAAAACTATTGGAAAAATAGTGTTTTATCTGATATTTGTGTATATGTATTTTTATGCATTTTAGAGAATCGGATTGTTAGTTCAAACATCAAACTCTCTGTGCAAGTGCGAATAAAATTTATTTTTCTTACAGTTTTAGTTTTAGTAATTTCAGTACTTCAACTTTTTTTTTTTCATAAAATAGTTCACTTATTTCACTTAGTTGCCAAGGCAACATTTCTACATTTCATGTAACTTATACATTTTGTATCTACTTTTTAGATTTCAGTTAACATTTATTTCAATTACCAAATTTTTTTTTATAACAATAACAACACTGTTGCTGCCTTTGCAGGACACTCCAAATCACTCACTTATTTGGTTCTATCACAATTAGGAGACTGCATATGTCGACAGTAGACAACAAGGCAACTCACTAAGTTTAATTATATGTAAGGTAATTGTGAAGTGATTACAGATGTCTCTTCTTTTGCTCTGCACAAGGATTTTCTTTCAGACATGGCGATGTGTGAGGTGGACCGATTTATCGATCGAGAGCACCTGATCTTCAGAGAGAACACCCTGGCCACCAAAGCCATAGAAGAGTACCTCAAACTCATCGGACACAAGTACCTCAAAGACGTTTTAGGTGAGACTTCCTCACACTATCATTGTCTCAGTCGCTGTACGCTCACACATTAATGGTTTCATTTGGTTTCAGGGGATTTTATCCGAGCGCTGTATGAGTCAGAGGAGAACTGTGAAGTCGACCCAATGAGGACTCCACCTTCTGTGCTGCCCGAACATCAAGCCAACCTCCGGATGTGCTGTGAGCTCGCACTCTGCAAAATTGTCAACTCTCATTGGTTAGTTACAGTGCTGACATAGACCATCCTTTTATAGACCATTTACGCAGTCTTCTCTCACTCACACACACACACACGCACACACACATTAAAATGTTACAAAAGATTTCTATTTCAAATAAATGTTGTTCTTTTGAATGTTGCATTCATCGAAAAAAGTATCACGGTGTATATTTAAGTGCACCACACCTTTTTTAAAACAGTTTGAGTGCCTAAACAACTGTTTAATGATAGCTATGATCTTCTTAACAACCTTTAAGATTGCATGATGAATATTATATGAAACATATAGAGAAAACTGGTAAATGATAACAATTCACATTATCCTTCATCCTGAATTTCCAGCCTATATTTTAATATATTTTACATGAAGATGCAGTGAAAATATGATATCACACTAACTGCTTAAATCTAAATGGAAATAATCTGCATTATTTGTTTTTCCCAGTGCGTTTTCAAGAGAACTAAAAGAGGTGTTTGCGTCCTGGCGTGTTCGATGTGCTGAGAGGGGAAGAGAAGACATTGCAGATCGACTGATCAGTGGTTCCCTCTTCCTGCGCTTCCTGTGTCCAGCCGTCATGTCACCATCTTTATTCAACCTCACACAGGAGTACCCCGATGAGCAGACTTCACGCACACTCACCCTCATAGCCAAAGTTGTGCAGAACCTTGCAAACTTCTCAAAGTCAGTACACACTTTCTTACCATGTCATCATTTCCTGCTGCATTATGAGAGCACAGTAGCTTGCATTCATGCTGGTCTTTTCAGAAGGTTAACCATTCTGATTGGGGATGCATGATATATTGGGATCATATTGGTTATCGACCAATATTTTATTTTATTTTATTTTATCATCTGATATTTATTTTGTTCATTCTCCTTTTCCCCATTCTGTTTCAAGATGCATAATATAATGGAACCAAATTGGTTATAAACTAATTTGATTTGGAATACATGATATGTTGATACTGGTTATCAACCAAATATTTTTATTTTATTTCATTTGATTCTTTCATTTGAATGTACCGTCACACCCCTAATTTAGGCAAATACATATCATCGTTATCGTAACAGCCAGAATTTTAATATCAGTGCATCCCTAATTGTGATCATGATAAGTGTCAATTTTTCAAAATTGAGATTTATACATCATATGAAAGCTGAATAAATAAGCTTTCCATTGATGTATGGTTTGTTAGGATAGGACAATATTTTGTTCGAGAGACTACTATTTGAATATCTGGAATCTGAGGGTGCAAAAAAATCAAAATATTGAGAAAATCGCCTTTAAAGTTGTCCAAATTAAGTTCTTAGCAATGCATATTACTAATCGAAAATTTAGTTTTGATATATTATATATTTACAATTGAAAAAAAATATCTTCGTGCAACATGATCTTTATCCTAATGATTTTTGGCATAAAACATAAAAGAAATTTTGACCCATACAATGTTTTTTTGGCTATTGCTACAAATATCCCCGTGCAACTTAAGACTGGTTTTGTGGTCCAGGGTCACATAACAGTTTGAGTGCCTAAACAACTGTTTAATGATAGCTATGATCTTCTTAACAACCTTTAAGATTGCATGATGAATATTATATGAAACATATAGAGAAAACTGGTAAATGATAACAATTCACATTATCCTTCATCCTGAATTTCCAGCCTATATTTTAATATATTTTACATGAAGATGCAGTGAAAATATGATATCACACTAACTGCTTAAATCTAAATGGAAATAATCTGCATTATTTGTTTTTCCCAGTGCGTTTTCAAGAGAACTAAAAGAGGTGTTTGCGTCCTGGCGTGTTCGATGTGCTGAGAGGGGAAGAGAAGACATTGCAGATCGACTGATCAGTGGTTCCCTCTTCCTGCGCTTCCTGTGTCCAGCCGTCATGTCACCATCTTTATTCAACCTCACACAGGAGTACCCCGATGAGCAGACTTCACGCACACTCACCCTCATAGCCAAAGTTGTGCAGAACCTTGCAAACTTCTCAAAGTCAGTACACACTTTCTTACCATGTCATCATTTCCTGCTGCATTATGAGAGCACAGTAGCTTGCATTCATGCTGGTCTTTTCAGAAGGTTAACCATTCTGATTGGGGATGCATGATATATTGGGATCATATTGGTTATCGACCAATATTTTATTTTATTTTATTTTATCATCTGATATTTATTTTGTTCTTTCTCCTTTTCCCCATTCTGTTTCAAGATGCATAATATAATGGAACCAAATTGGTTATAAACTAATTTGATTTGGAATACATGATATGTTGATACTGGTTATCAACCAAATATTTTTATTTTATTTCATTTGATTCTTTCATTTGAATGTACCGTCACACCCCTAATTTAGGCAAATACATATCATCGTTATCGTAACAGCCAGAATTTTAATATCAGTGCATCCCTAATTGTGATCATGATAAGTGTCAATTTTTCAAAATTGAGATTTATACATCATATGAAAGCTGAATAAATAAGCTTTCCATTGATGTATGGTTTGTTAGGATAGGACAATATTTTGTTCGAGAGACTACTATTTGAATATCTGGAATCTGAGGGTGCAAAAAAATCAAAATATTGAGAAAATCGCCTTTAAAGTTGTCCAAATTAAGTTCTTAGCAATGCATATTACTAATCGAAAATTTAGTTTTGATATATTTACGGTAGGAAATTGAAAAAAAATATCTTCGTGCAACATGATCTTTATCCTAATGATTTTTGGCATAAAAGAAAAATCTAATTTTGACCCATACAATGTTTTTTTGGCTATTGCTACAAATATCCCCGTGCAACTTAAGACTGGTTTTGTGGTCCAGGGTCACATATTTATGCTTTAATTGTTATTCTTCCGTCCAAAGAACCAACATATGGTACACTTAAATCCTTCACTTGGGTTCAAGTGTCTTTGCTCAAGGACACGGTGGTGATGGGGATCTCTTTACCCCCAAAATTATGGGTTGAATTATGACATTTGGGCTGTCAGCCCAGATCATTAACCATTAAGCTATAAAAAACTGTGCAGCCGTTACTGATGATGAACATAAAGATCATTCACATTATCATCATTATCAATGTGGTAACATTCAAAGCTGACCGTATCAACCCCGTGTCCTTACCGATTCCTCACTGTGTTACAGGTTTGGCAGTAAGGAGGAGTACATGTGCTTTATGAATGAGTTTTTAGAGATGGAGTGGGGCTCCATGCAGCAGTTCCTGTACGAGATCTCCAATCTCGACAGCGTGAGCAACGCAGCTGCTTTTGAGGGCTACATCGACTTGGGAAGGGAGCTCTCGATCCTGCACAGTCTTCTGTGGGAAGTCATGGCACAGCTAAGCAAGGTAGATGCTGTTTTGATAGTCTAGATAAAGATGACTGTGATTGTCTGCTTATGTTTGCAATCGGTCATCAGTCTGTTGTTACCGTGCCAAAGGATGCTATCATCAAACTCGGACCATTGCCCCGCCTTCTGAATGACATCAGCATGGCCCTTCGTAACCCTCACCTCCAGCGACAGCCCAGTCATCAGATGGACAGACCGCCTCCAGAGAGACAGACGGAAAGACTGCTCTCCAGGCCCAGCTTCAACAGGGGTATCTCGTCTGAGTTCCAGAACATCATGATGAGAGACCTCAACAGGTAGAGTCTGCTGTCTTTATGTGTGTCACATCTGCAGGAAGTATTTTCCAAATCCTAGTGAGCTGCCTACTTAGTCTGTATTTTTAGGCACCTTATCCAAACTTGAATCGAGGTGCAATGGGTGATATAAATAAAAAAATGTGCAGAATAAATAAAGAAATGTACAGAATTGAATTTTTTTTATATTCTGCTTTCTATTTTTAAACAATTTTATTCTATTTTACAGAGACTATTTTAATCATTGGTTTTAGTACAGTAACTATATTAAAAATTTAATTTAGTTGTCTTTTATAAAATCACATTTGTATTATATTTTATATAAAGTCTTTTATCACACAGTATAAAAACATTTAAAATACAATGTATACATATTATAAAATATAATAAAATTATGTAAAATATTGTATTTAAAAAAGGGTAAGAGTATACATTTTATTAATACATTTTTATAAATACATTTTATTTTATTTTATTTTATTTTCATTCGTTTAGTTTAGTTGTCGGAATATTTAATTGTGCTTTCTCATTTTTATGGGAATTATTTCAGTATAACATTTAGCTTTTTTTCCCCGTCACTTAAAATGAATCTGAAAAAAAAAAGACTGATAATTGAATAACATTGTTAAATATAATCTTTAGCGAATATCAAAATGAATGTTCTTCTTTCATACAATTTATTTTATTTTATTTTATTTTGTTATTATTTTAATGCTTCTATTCTATAAGCATTATAGATAGTACTATCTATAATGCTTGTATACCTTATTTTATTTCAGATATTTGCCAGCATTTCTCATTTTTGTTTAGTTTAACTTGAAGTATAAAATAACAAATTAAATAAACTAAAACTAACAAATAAATACTATATAGACATTAAAATACATAATAAACATGTCAAAAACACTAAAAAGGTAAACGTTTTATTAAAACTTTTACTAAGATTAAAGTGAAAACAAAAATATTTTAAAAATCTAATTCAAAATATTAACATAAACAGTAATAATATATCAGTGATACTAAAATAACACTGTATCAGAGTTTATTTTATTCATAAATTAAATAACTACAAATCAAGAATAATGACAATATCACATCATATGGCTCACTAGGTTTTGGAACTGAGCTTAAGTGAATGTCTTAAGGAATATTGCTTGTGGAGAAAATGAGCGTGGATATGATTTTCCATCTTAACTTTCTCATATCTCACATAGTTCAGTCGAGATCACTCGCCTGCCCTCTCCAACCTCTGCCATGTCCAGTGGTGGCGCCCCTCCGTCCCGGGCCGGATTAGGGGGGTTTGCAGACCGCGATCATCCTAACCGAGCCTCATCTAAATTGGGGGGGTTTGCAGACCGCGATCATCCTAACCGAGCCTCATCTAAAGACGTTTTCTATGTTGCCCGTCCCCCGTTGGCCCGCTCTAGTCCAGCGTACTGCACTAGCAGTTCTGATATTACTGATCCAGACCCAAAGGTAAGTCCCATAGGACAGTGCTTCTGATTGGGTGGGGGGTTCTGATTAAATAATAACCCCTTTCATTTAGAAACCTTTCATGACTATGGTCAGTGCTGTCTGGTCCGAATTCTCATGTGAATAACAGCTCGCTCCCTAGCACACGTTTCGCCAGCTTTTCTGAGGGTTGGCTTTGTTCCTGAGGGAGAAGGAAGCGCCACTGACCTGCTTACTGCAGAGTCAAATACCATCCAAGCATGGAAAGAGGGCTACGAGATGATGTGGGTGCAGTCAATACATATGATAGAGATTCTTTACGTTAATCTTGCATCACCATTTGGGATTCAGGGTCGTGACATACAAAAAGTCAACAGTTCACCCAAAAATTGAAATGCTGTGAGTATTTACTGCAAAATTGCATCACATGCAGTTTTCATAGAGACAAATGCTGTCGAAAAAGCACTATAAAGGTAGTACATATTATTTGTGCACTATATTCCAGGTCTTCTTCAAATTTAAGATTTAATTAAGTAAATAATTACATAAAAATGGCACCTGCCATGTTAGGTTTTGCCTCAGTGCTATATAAATTCATTTGACTTTTGTAGTCTATTTCAGAGGAACTTGATTTAGCTTCAAAATATAAGTCTCAGAATTTTGAATTTTGATTTTTTTTTTGCTACAAAGGTTAAATTAAATTAATTTCAATTGATTTTTTCCCTGTAAAAGCTGTTGAAAATGATTTCTTGTTATATTATATAATTGCTAAAATATAATATTATGTTATTTAAATATAATATATAGAATATAATATTTGATTAATTAAATATCATTTTCTTTGACATTATTGCTAGGACATTTCTTTTGTTCTTTATTTTATTTATCATAAAAATTATTATCTTTAAGATGCTTAAATATAATCTAAAAAAAAACTTACCTTTGTATAAAATATAATCAGCAAATTATAATTTTTTTCCAATAGAAATATTTTACACAAACAATAAACAATATACAATTACACTTAAATGTAACTTAATGACATTTAAATTAATCATATGGGGGAAAAAATCTATTTAAGTCATATGAACTACTTTTATGGTGCTTTGTGGTGTTTTTTTCTATTTTGATTTCAGTTAAATTAATTTCTGTTAATAGCTGATGCTAATTATTTATTAACATTTGTTTAAATATTTAAATAATTATGTCATTTATCTTGACATTATTACTTGGACAATTGGGTGTATTTTTTATTTGAATTCTTATTTTTTTTTTAATATGCTGTAAAAAATGAATGTCAAAAACTTACCTCTGTATAGACTACGATCAGTAAATTCTGTGATTTTTTTTAAATGGAAATATTTTACACAATGTAACAATGACATTTAAATGAGCCATTGAAAAAAATCTATTTAAGTCATATGAATTCATTTTTATGGTGCTTTTGTTGTGTTTTTTGTTCATTCTGAATTCAGTTAAAATTATTATATTCTATAAAAGCTGAGCGTAATTATGTAGTAAGTAACATTATTTAAATAGTATTACAAATTTTGACAATGCTAGGACAACCTGGCTTTTGTTTTTATGCATTAAAAGCATAAGAATAAAAATAAGCAAATTTTTAAGCATAATAATTCTACTTCCTGTGGGGGAAAAAATAACAGCATATAGGTTTTTAACGACATGAGTAAATAATAACTTAAATTAATCAATTTTTGGGTGAATGATTTCCTTTTAACCTTAGTTAATACACACATGCTGTCAAACCACGTTCATAACCGTCACACCTGCTGCGCACGGCAGGTATCTGCAGCGTTCTCGCCCGTAGGTTCTGCTGTAGGTGTTAATGAAAATGTTTCTATGATGGACCTCCAGGACTCAAGAATGAACAGCGTCTCTAACCTGCAGTCTATGGGGGACATGCTCAACTCTTCCCAGGCCTCGATTGCCGGCCTCGGCAGCTACGGTGGGCTCGCGGGCTTGGGAGGTGGCCTCGGAGGTCAGCTGCGCGCTGGAGGGCGTATGTCGGCCGGATCCGGGGGTTCCAGCATGTCCGGGGGTCTGAGGTTGAGCCAGCTGAGCCAGATGGGAACCACCACCGACTCGCTGTCCCAGCAGCAACAGCAACAAGCCGCCGCTCTCCGCTACCCCCTCTCCTTCCAGAACCCTCTGTTCCACCTGGCTGCTGATGGGCCTCAGCTTCACCACCAGCACAGTCGAGCTCAACCTCCTCCTCCTCTCCTGCTGGCCCCAGAGCCGGACGCTTCTCACCCCTCTTACATCCCGCAGTTCGCCCATGGCGGTTTCTCCCGAAGCGAGGAATTCCACAAAAGTACCATGATCAAATGCTACAAAGAAGCTCAAGAGCACCATCATCTTCATCAGGAAATTAAATGGGTTACATATAAATAAATAAATAAATAAATAAATAAATAATGTATTTTAAATTTTAATAATATTTCACAATAGAAAACCGTTATTTAACATTTCAATAATAGTTCACAATATTGTATTGTTATATTGCCTTGGGGAGCATAAGATAATATATACAATATGAATTGAATTCAGCTATAAAACAGCTTCTCAGAAAGCAGTAGCATCATTAATTGACTCAAGTCACTTCATGTTGATTCAATTCAATTCACTAACAGCCAGTGTCAATTACAAAACAAATTTGATTCAGATATAAAGCAGCTCTACAGAAGATAATAGTGTCATTATTCAACATAATTTAGTTCGGAGTTGATTCAATTCATTTCAATAATCGTGTAAAGTTGATCAATTATGTAATGACTTCAAAGCAGATTTACATAAAAGAGTGTCATTACCCAGCTCAATTCAGTTCAAGTTTTGTTCTAATTTGATAATACGAAATTTATAAGATTTATGAATGTTAATTACCTTTTAAGGCCCAACTCAGCAAGCCAAAGGCAACACTGGCAAGGAACCAAAACGCAGGTGACAGTAGTGAACAAAAGGAACCAAAGAAGATAAACGTTAAACATCACAGATTCACAAACTTTTGTTGGCGTTTTGTTTTGCTTAGTGCTGCTTATGCTGAATTTCTGGGTAAAATGATTTAAAAATGAGTGGCAGAAATGGTGGTTGTTATTTAAGCATGTGTCTCATGACCAGGAGCAGCAGCAGATGGCAGGCATGGCATCGCAGACGGGCACATCTCATTCATCGCTCGCCACGCCACCTTCCACCGTTCAGCCTGCCCGCCAAAGCTCCATGGCTCCTCCCACGCAGCGCATGAAATCTCAACCCTCGCATCAGCTTTCCGTGAGTTCTGCCGCCGCAGCCGCTCCTGCGGGCAAAACCAGGCCACAGAGTGGAAACCTGCTCCAGTCCCCGGAGTCCGGCTTCGGGGGCCGGCAACAGGGTCCTCGGCAGCAGCTGTCTGTCAAAGACAGCACCCCGCCTGGCCTGCCGCATCAGCAGAGCTCCACCAGAGAGAGCCAGGGATCCCAGGGCTCTCAGGGCGGAACGCCGCAGTCCACACAGCAATCCAAATCACATCAGGAACGGCAGCAGATCCAGCAACAGCATCTGCTCAAGCCTACCATGAGCAAACAGGTGTTTCAATCAGAAACCATTGTTCACTCTGCTATCAGTGTGTGTATGTGCGTTTGTGTCTAGTATTTCTTCAGCTGGATATTTCTTTTTGTGTGTGATCTCTATAAAATTATTTATAAAAATCCTTTTCAAGTCATTTGTGATTGAAAAAATGTGGGCTGAACTGTTTTCAAGTTTATTAAAGCCATTTAATGGGCAATAATTTAACAAATTATAAATATTTAATATATAAAATATTTATCACAAATAAAAACGAGGATTTTTTTAAGGTGGCAACATCAAACTTTATAGTAAATACAACTAGTAAAACAAACGAACGCCACAATTTATCAGTCTGAATGGAAAACGTAGTTATAAATGTGGTTATTTAAATAAATATTTATTTCACTATAAAAAGATATAAAATGCCACACAGGGAGTTTTTCACAATTATTCTTTGCTGATTTTAATAATATTTTGAAAGTTTATTAAAGCCATTTAATATCTTGTTTGCTATAATTTTTACAAATTCAAAAAAAGCTATATTTATGACCCACAAAAATGAGAATCTCATTAACACTGCAAAACACCTTATATTTATAATAAATACATCTACTAAAACAAACAAAAAACACTATAATTTATTCATCTAAATGAAAAACATAGTATTAAATCTCATTATTTAAATACGTTTATTTTGCTACAAGAAGATGCTGCACAGGGACTATTTTTGGGCAGATTTTAGAGAAAAATTATCAGAATTATGTGAAATGGATTCAAACCTGGTAAAATGTGTTAAATGGAGCTGAAAGCACTATAATTTAATTGGTAATAGTAGGCCTGGGCGATAAAACGGTATCGATATTTATCGACGGTACACCTTCATCGATAACGATATAAAAATTTTCGATATAGCGCACGATATAGGCACGTGTTATGAGTGACGCAGACAGCTCACACAAACATGGAACACATGCTGAATTGAGTGCTGTGCCTGCCTGTGATGAGGAGATTGTGAATAAAAAAAAAGAATATTAGTCAATATTAGTAATATTAGCAAAAATGCTACAATCGAATGTTAGGAGTGCGTCAGGGAGCGTCATCAGTGGTGCGCGAGATGCGGTGATGATGATGTAAGTGACGTTGCATTTTAATGTTTTGTTAGTCTAGCCCACGAGACGCGCCGCTGCTGTGTTATTCGTTCAAAATATTAGAGAAATATAGTAGCTCAATGCGTAGAAGATCTTGATTAGGTTAAAACCGAAACCAAGCCATTCACACAGAACGCATATTCAGCACATTTTTAGACGGACAAATATGACTGCTGCACTCGCGTCTCATGCAAGAGATGCAAAGAAAGTCATGCAAAGTTAAAACAGTTTTAACGTCTAGAAAACGCGACACGAATTTTTGAAGGTTTATTTCATTTCACTGTGTCTCATATGTTTTTAAATGCAATCTGTGTGATCGAGAACAACGACAGGAGGTTACACACTGCATGACTTTACAATAGCAAGAATCGCCGACAGCTCTGTCTGGTGCAGGGTTGCCAGGTTTTCGCTACAAAACCCGCCCAATTACTACTCAAAACTATCCCAATTGCTTTCGAGGGGTCCCCCAGTAAAAATCGCGTTTGGGGGGTAAAATACAATTTTTTTTGCCGGGGTTCTCCTGGTACAATTCACATTCCAGGGCCTAAATATCACGTTATTGGGGTCGCTTCAACCTGCTGACTAGCATTAGCATTTACTCCACCGGCCTCGCTCCGTTCCCACGGCTCTCGGCCCTGCCCCTCTCGTCACATTTATTTTGTGTTTGACTGTTTAAAAATAATATATATATTTGTTGTTTGTCTTAATAAAGTGGGCAAATTAAAAATACAGTGGTTAAATTAAAAAAAAAAAAATTATATTGCTCTGATTTAAAAAGGGTTATAAAAAATGTCAATAATTATCGATACCGAACGATATGAAACATATCGTTGATATATTTTTTAGCTATATCGCCCAGCCCTAGGTAGTAGCATAACAAAATTAATCAGCATACTTAATAATTTTCTTTAAAAAAAAAATGTAACTTTTATTCAGCAAGGACACGGTAAATTGATCAAAAGTGACAGTAGGCTACAACATTTATAATGTTACAAAAGATTTATATTTCAAATTTCAAACTTTCTATTTATCAAAGAATCCTGAAAAAATGCATCACAGTTTTCAAAAAATATTAAGCAGCAACAATAAACTTTCAACATTGATAATAATTCGAAATGAGCAGCAAATCAGCGTATTAGAATGAATTCCGAAGGAACATGTGACACTGAAGACTGATGCTGAAAATTCAGCTTTGCATTACAGGAATAAATTGCATTTTACGATATATATTTTTTGAAGTTGAAATAATATTAAACAAAAACATTAAAAATCTAACCAACCTCAAACTGTGTAGTCTAAATATTAAAGATGCAACCCAAACGTCTGTTTCCACACTTACATGCTCTTGTGTTCTTTTCCTCAGGGCTCTTCCCAATCTCCATCCACTCTCAACCCTTTGACCCCTGCCTCTGAGCGAACGGTCGCCTGGGTGTCCAACATGCCCCATCTTTCTGCTGACATAGAGAGCTCCCGCATCGACAGAGAAGAATACAAACTCAAGGAGTATTCAAAGAGCATGGACGAGTCGCGTCTGGACAGGGTGTGTTTCTCTCTTGCTCTACTAGATGTGTTCACATCGGGGTGAAAAAAGAGATAGTTCACCCAAAAATGAAAATGGTGTAATTTACTCACCCTCATGTTGCTCCAAACCTGTATGAATTTCTTTCTTCTGTTGAACACAAAAGAAGCTATTTTGAAAAATGTTGGTAACCAAACAGTTGCCAGTAGCCATTAACTTCTATAATATGGAAGAAAATACTGTGGAAGTCAATTTGGTTCTCAACATTCTTCCAAATATCTTCTTTTGTGTTCAACAGAAGAAAGAAACTCATACAGGTTTGGAGCAACTTGAAAGTTTCATTTTTGGGCGAACTGTCCGTTTTTGACTGTTTTCAGACTGTTTCTTAGTTCAAACTCGAGCTTGATTCTTGTCTCTGTCCTTATGCAAATACACCACAAGACCCTCAGTTGACTGCAGAGTGCACTTGTGTCTCCCACCTCAGCACACAAGTGCCAAGGAAATGCATATCATGTCTTTCACCTCTGTAACAGATGGTGCTGGCAGCCTCATTTATGCATTATTTAAATATCAAATGAACATGAGCAGCCTTTTGCGGTAAACAGACTCCTGGAGAGAGCAGCATGGGCTTTCAATCAATACGTCCTGGCTGCCCTTGACCCTCTGTTCTCCCCTGTGGAAATTTGTGTAGAGGTGACACGCAACCTTTTTTCATTGTTTCACAGTGTGCCTATTAAAGGGCAGTTTCATATTCAGCTATGAATCAGCATTTCTTTTGTTTGAAAAATACATTTTCTCATTCCTGTGTGGTTTGAAAGGAGAATTTTGCTAGATTGCATTGACTGTAGTTGCCCACCTAGGCAACATTTTCATGCATGAATGACACATTCCTTGCGGAGAAGCTGTAGGGAGCAAAATCATGCTTGCTTTCTCATTACTGAAAAAACCACACTGTTTCGAAAACGGCTGAGCTACAAAAATATGAAAACAGTCATTATTTACTCTTAGTCTTTATTTCTCACAAAAGATGAGTTTTTGAAGAATATCGTGCCTTCAAAATGGTCCCTTTTATATTTTACAGAAGAAAGAAAGGATTTTGGAGTAAGATTAAGTAAACGATCCCAGAATTTTTGTAGTGCCACCAGGCCCGGTTCTTGACAGCTATAGAAGGGTGGGCTGGCAGATATACTGGGTGGGCATTTTTTAGTCGTCATATCATCACATGGTCTAGAAGATATTTATACTGCAGATATTGCTGTATTAACTATGCTATACTAACCATATTACAGTATATGTACACTGAAAAAAGCTTTCATGGGCACCCTAGAATATCATGTACTTTCACAGCAAATATATATTTTTTCTTTATTGAATAGTAAAAAAAAAAGCCCTCTTTGTTCTCTTTCTCTGGATCATTGTTTCTACACTGTTGACTCTTTTCAACTAACTTTTTTATTTATACCAGACAAGGCCATAATCATGTCTAGAACATTGGAGGGACCAATTGTTTTGAAGAAAATATAAAGACCAGACCACTATGGTAATGGTATTTATTTAAAGAAACTAAATAAATAAAGGATTTAAATGGATTTAGGGGAATAAATTAAAAGAAGAGTAAAAGAACAAGAATAAGAATTTTTGTAAAGTAATCAATCTGAACTGCAAATAAGATTTTTATTTTCAAATATGCACCCATTCAATTTCAGTTGTATTGCTGAAAACGCAAAACAGAAAAATGCTATTGTCGTCATTATGAATTACATGAATCGTGTAAATGGCAGACCTACTTTCCATTCAAAACTGCGGAATTTGACAAAAAAAAAAAAAGACAATAAGAAAGAAACAGACTAATATTAGCGTAGATGCCATACTTCTAACGATGTAACAAGTACATTGGGTGTTATGGGAAGTGTTCCTGGTTCTGGTTGACCTAATTAATGCAGCCAATCAATCCTTTTACGGATTTGAATTATATAAATGTGTTAGTGTGTTATGTGTAAGCCAAGTTAAAGAGATGGGTTTTTAATCTAGATTTAAACTGACAGAGTGTGTCTGCCTCCCGAACAGTGTTAGCTAGATTGTTCCAGAGTTTGGGAGGTAAATAGTAAAAAAATCAGGCCCGGTTCTTGACAGCTATAGAAGGGTGGGCTGGCAGATATACTGGGTGGGCATTTTTTAGTCGTCATATCATCACATGGTCTAGAAGATATTTATACTGCAGATATTGCTGTATTAACTATGCTATACTAACCATATTACAGTATATGTACACTGAAAAAAGCTTTCATGGGCACCCTAGAATATCATGTACTTTCACAGCAAATATATTTTTTTTCTTTATTGAATAGTAAAAAAAAAAGCCCTCTTTGTTCTCTTTCTCTGGATCATTGTTTCTACACTGTTGACTCTTTTCAACTAACTTTTTTATTTATACCAGACAAGGCCATAATCATGTCTAGAACATTGGAGGGACCAATTGTTTTGAAGAAAATATAAAGACCAGACCACTATGGTAATGGTATTTATTTAAAGAAACTAAATAAATAAAGGATTTAAATGGATTTAGGGGAATAAATTAAAAGAAGAGTAAAAGAACAAGAATAAGAATTTTTGTAAAGTAATCAATCTGAACTGCAAATAAGATTTTTATTTTCAAATATGCACCCATTCAATTTCAGTTGTATTGCTGAAAACGCAAAACAGAAAAATGCTATTGTCGTCATTATGAATTACATGAATCGTGTAAATGGCAGACCTACTTTCCATTCAAAACTACGGAATTTGACAAAAAAAAAAAAAAGCATAAATAGCTTGCATCACTGGATAGCCTATTTGGTCGTTTATGTCATAGAAGGGGGACACTACGTTTTGAGCCGACTGTTGCTATAGTAACGATCACAACTTTCATCCCACAAGCTCTTTACTTTCAGTTTTCATTCTTACATTCAGCATTAACAGCAACAATAAGCCAAAAGTGGTAAGCTTTCAACTGAACTGTATAGCCTACATGCATTTTAGATGCTTATATTATGCTCTTGCCCCGTCCATGCAATGTATGTCCATGCATATTGTATGAGTGGGTTTTTTTTTAAACCATTAAAACTGCTCAGGTAATTTCAGTGGTAGGCTATGATACATATCCATGTAGCCTATTAAACTCCCCGTAGCTCACAAACTCCCCGTGATATCTCTGTATAGCCTACATGCATTTTAGATGTTTATATTATGCTCTTGCCCCGTCCATGCAATGTATGTCCATGCATATTGTATGAGTGGGGTTTTCTTTAAACCATTAAAACTGCTCAGGTAATTTCAGTGGTAGGCTATGATACATATCCATGTAGCCTATTAAACTCCCCGTAGCTCACAAACTCCCCGTGATATCTCTGCCCGTTTTCACTAGTCCTCAGCCTCTGCTTTTCTGCAACAGACTGAAGCTCCTTGCATTCAGTTAATAAAAGAAAAATGCTGCAATTTTCTGGTGTTATTTTATGATTGTTGGGGCAGTCTCCAGCTATATCTTAAACTTCTTAAAATACAGTCCACTTCGGATTGGTTTTAATTACTGCATAAAATAATTAATGCAATCTTTATCTAATTCTGATTGGGAGGGCAAGACTGTCATTTGGGTGGGCTTAGCCCACCCCTGCCCATGCCTGGAGCTGGCCCCGAGTGCCACCACTTTTAGTTAGTCTCTCACCAAAGCTGTACACTAGGAGTACTTTATTACCTTACTGTCTCAACATTTGATTTGATATTTTTGCATATCTTATTAATATTTTGAAAGTTTATTAAATCCATTTAATAGACAATATCTTGTTACTTGTAGTTTTCACAACTTATTTGGTTTATTTTTTAATACTTTTATTTCATTTTTTTTTACCTTTATTTTAAAATAATACATTTTCATTACATTTTTTATTTAATTTTAATTTTATAATTTTAATTGTATTTAATACTTGTATGTGCTTTTAATACTTTTTAAGACTTTGAATACTTTGTTTTGCAGATTTTTGCATATCTCATTAATATTTTGAAAGTTTATTCAATCCATTTAATAGATAATATCTTGTTACTTGTAGTTTTCACAACTTATTCGGTTTATTTTTTAATACTTTTATTTCATTTTTTACCTTTATTTTATTTTTAAATAATTCATTTTAAATAATTCATTTTCATTACATTTTTTATTGAATTTTAATTTTATAATTTTAATTTTATTTAATACTTGTATGTGCTTTTAATACTTTTTAAGACTTTGAATACTTTGTTTTGCAGATTTTAATAATATTTTAAAAGTTTATTAAAGCCATTTAATGGATAATATCTTGTTAATTATAATTTTCACAAAAAGATTCAATTAATTTGTAACTATTTTTGATACTTTTATTTTTACTTTTACTTTTATTTAATTTATATATTTTTTTACTTTTAATTCAAACTTTTAATTTGACTTTTACTTTTAATACTTTTAATACACAACTCTTTTTTCTTTATTCTGTTGTTGCAGATTTTAATAGTAGTTTTACATTTTATTAAAGCCTTTTAGTGGATAATATCTTGTAAATTATAATTTTTAAACAATTATTTAATGTTTGAACACTTTTAATACATTTATTTTTTTACTTTCATTTAATTCACATAATTTTATTTTATTATTATTTTTTTTTATGTAATTTGATACTTTTAAAACTTTTTGACACTTTTAGATACTCACTCACCTACCTCTTACCTTACTGTCTCAAGGCAGCCATCAAGATGAGGGTAACATCTGCTCTGATAACAGGCCTGCTGTCTTCATCTTTTCTCTGGACGCAGGTGCGTGAATACGAGGAGGAGATCAACTCTCTGAAGGAGCGTCTGATGATGTCACACCGCAAGCTGGAGGAGTACGAGAGGAGGATGTTAACTCAGGAGCAGCAGACCAATAAAATCCTGCTGCAGTATCAGAGCCGACTGGAGAACAGCGAGAGGAGACTGAGACAGCAGCAGATGGAGAAAGACAACCAAATTAAAGGAATTATTGACAGGTAATATGAAAAAAAAAAGGCTGGAGAAACATTGAGCGGTGGTCATGTGATCACGCTCGCTGTGTAATTACTTCGGTTCCTTCTAAATTCATTTGACAAAGACCCCTTATGTACAGTAATGCTGTTTAGAAATAGTGGCCTGAAAAAGTATTTGTATATTTAAACCAAACTTAAAAATGTCTGAATGTCATTTCATTAGAAAACAAGATTAAAATGTCAAATAAAGTGGCATTAATTAAAAAAATATAGCACAAGCGCACCTTTCAAGAAAAGCATTTCATGACAAGTGATAAAACACTATATACACTATCGTAATACACTCAAAAGTTTTAATGTTTTTAAAAGAAGACTCTTATGCTCAAAAATACAGTAAAAAATGTAATAATGTGAAATATTAACTTAACTTAAAATAACTATTTTCTATTTTAATATATTTTAAAATGTATTCATATGTTACTCCAGTCTTCAGTGTCACATGATCCTTCAGAAATCATTCTAATATGCTGATTTGCTGCTCAAGAAACTGATTTTTATCAATGATGAAAACAGTTGTGCTGCTTCATATTTTTGTGGAAACCATGATATATTTTTTTTTCAAAAAAAATTTTTACTGTCACTTTTGATCAGTTTAATGCATCCTTGCTGAATAAAAGTATTAATTTACATTTTAATTATGTTTTATTATAAATTATTAAATTATAAAATTTTATTAAAAATATTATTTTAATTTTTGTTTTAATTTACACTTTAATTAACTAATTTTTTTATTATTTGTTGTTTGTAGATAAACTATATTATTTGATATTTCGTTTGATATTCAGACATTTTTTAGAACGATACAGATGTCCAAATGCTTTTTAGGGTCAGTGTGTATATGTTTTATACATTTTATAAGGGGATTTCTAGAGCGACTGCCAATTATGTTGATTTGTCTTGTAATTGCCATGTTGTGTGTCATCACAAAGCTACTTTTAATTGATGAACTGGGTTCATTTCCTTCCTGTTGTTGTTTTATTTTGTTTCATTTCATCATTTTTATTACTCTGTTATTTGGATTATTTTCAGCTTTGTGAATCTACAGAGACCCATCTTCCAATATTTTGTTCACTGTTATAAATGACATCACCCCACCCACTAGTTGATGAAATGATGTTGTAACTTCCTGTAATGCAGCACTTACCACATATTTTGTGTCACAGAGTATATTGCTATTTCGATCCAATTCTAGGGATGAAGACATGGAGTCAAGACACTCAGATGGTGAAGGGAGACCGGGTTCTTACTCCCAAAAGGGCATACAAATATAAACCATCAAGTCTCTTCCTTCCTTGACGTGTATTAGTGCAGTACCTCTCTGGAATGATCTCAGGATGAGTGGGATGTGTTTGTAATGGAGGCAGTCGTATGTTTGCAATATATATTTGTTATTTTAAGTGTGGTGCCATCTGCGGAAACAACCTGACATGGACAGACTGTGCTTGAGCTGAAAAGAGAAGTTGGTTCATGAATTGCTAATGTTTAAATAACTTGTTCCGAAAGAGAAATTGCAAAAGCTCTTTCAAGGATCGTTCATCCATTAATCAAAATTCTGTGATTATTTGTTCACCCTCCTCATTCCAAACCTGTATATTAATATTTCAGTGGAACACAAAAGGAAAAATTGTCAAATAAAATATAAATAAATAGTAGAGGTTTAAGAATGAGATGAGGTAGTGTAATGCAATAATAATGTTTTTAAACAAGCCTTTATTTGGCTTCTACCTGTTTATCTTGAAAATAGAAAAGGTGCTGGCGATTTCTCTTCCAAATAACCATCAATAATTGTAGCAGAAATCTTGAAAATACCCAGAATCCTCTCTTCCTGAACTGCCTGTTCAAGTTCTCTGCTGCACTTCTCTCTTCACTGTGTTCTGGAACATACTGTGTGATGGAAGTGTCTTACACATCAGAAGAGATCATATCTCAGATGTTCATGTTCTCCATATCTCTATGTGCTGTCACAAGAACAGCGCTCTCATGTGTCAACCGCTCCTCATCACATTTGGCTTTCAGTTGTTCAGGCCTTGCAGGAATATCAGTTTCAGTGTCAAGACCATTCGTTTTGATATATGCAATAAAAACGGATATTTCCAAACTTCAGAAACTTTGCTTATATGCAAACACAAGCCTCATATATGATTTCTAATATTGAAATTCATGGCTGAATCTCACAAAACCTGATCAAGGTCATGTTTCACGCCAAAAAAAAAAGCAAATTATTACTTTAAAGGAACACTCCACTATTTTTGAAAATAGGTTCATTTTCCAACTCCCCTAGAGTTAAACAGTTGAGTTTTACCGTTTTCGAATCCATTCAGCCGATCTCCGGGTCTGGCGGTAGCCGGATCTGGGTCAGCGCCGGCGCCGCCACACGCTCACGTCATGATACTGTTGTGAACGTGCGTCCACAAAAAAGTATTCTTGTAGCTTTGTAACTTTACAGTTGAACCACTGATGTCACACAGACTACTTGGTCGATCATCTTGGTACTTTGTTTAAATTATTTAATTTGTATTTTAATTATGAATTTATATATATATATATTACTTAAATTAAAGTATTTGTATATCATAAGAATTGTTGTGCTGCTTTAAATTGATGCTGATTTCATTACATCAGTGTAAAAAAAAATGTGTCACAGTGCAAAATACAAAATAAGCTTCATTTTTTTATGCAAATATAATCCTTATTTTTGGGGGGGGGGGATATGACCTGGATTTGTTTTCACCTTCATAGATAAATATTAACACAACAAATCAGTATTGTGTTCAGTATGTTTCAGTATTATGATTCATGTACAATGTCCAGAAGATGCAGTATAAAATATTAAACATGAGGTAAGTGAGTTGTGATACAGGCACGCTGTGAAATAAATATCTTATTTTGTGTGGTGCTGTTTGTGAAATAAACATAGAGATATGAATTATAGATCAAGAAACTTAAATACTGGATTAATTTAGGACTGAAATGAATTCTTAGAAAATCTCTTTTGTAATGTGATGTTGATATAAATAATAATTTAGAAGAACATAGAACGTTTGTACTGGGGGAAAAAAGCCTTTTTTAAGTCTTTCATTGTTAGCCTTTCAGATATTGATGTACAAAAATGACTGTATTAAACATTCTATACTGTTAGAAACCAATAACAAAGACATTGCTTCCCTATAAATTCTTTTAAAAGCTATTTATTGAGAAATATAGAGCATAGATAATATATATTCTGTATATGAGATGATATATATTTAATTCTTGTAGCCAAACTGTGCAATAAATATGCCTTGATATGTTAAATAGCACAATGAAAGTTTATTAATGATTCCATCTCGTGACCCTTCTGACCTCTGCTTGTGAAATGTGTCTGACCCCATGACCCTTTGTCTGACCTTTGTTAATAAAAAATCACGTTGTTGTGACAGACGTGAGCGGACTTGAAATAAACATGCTTCTGTCTTTTTTAGCAGTACTGAAGCACTAAATTTGTCTTTTGGTTTTTGTTGTTGTTTTTTATTACTTTTGCATTTCAATTTTGTACAAGCATATATGTACATTTATCAATGGAATAAAATATCCACTCGCATTTTTTTAAACCTAAACTGTGGAATTCATTATTTACTTGTGCTAAAGTCTAGAGTAAGTTATTCTGCGATAAATAAATGTTAAATTCATGACTATTTCATATCAGCATACACTGTCACCGAACCGACTATCCAGTGAAACCTTTCATATTCAAACCAAATGCATGCATTTAATGTCAGTCACCCTATCATGCATACATATTGTCTTGTCAACATATATCAAACCAGACATCACAAAACACATCTTTCCTTAGAAAACCGTAGTTCACTTGATAATCACACCAGTTTTGGGCCTATTAAAGTGGTTTGTTCTGCTGCCGCTTGTGCCTAAAAACAGTATCTGATGTGATTTCCAGAGAGGAAATGTTCATGTGGAGATATGAAAACATCCCTGTTTTGTGTATGAAGCCGAACATCACTTTGATGCGCACTGGCGGCCACTTCAATGGCGTGTAATTGCTGAAATAAGCTGCCAGTAAGAGCGGAAGCCGTACAACATGGCCCATTTTCATTTATCAGCTCACTTATTCTCATGGGATGATGGAAATATGTAATTATATGACATAACAAGACATATTTTGATGGAATTTCTCACAGTATGCTGTTCAGATTGGACCAAATCAGCCAAACTACTAGTTTATACCACAATCGAAGCTTTTATCGATGATATTTGTGGCAGATTAACACTTATTTTTGATTGTCTGATCTCAATAATGTGCATTGGAACTAATAATGTCTTTCTCTTTCTTGTCCTTTCTTTCTCCTTCGCTTTCTTGTTTTCTGTGAAGACTCATGGCTGTGGAAGACGAGCTGAGGGTAGGGGTGGTGCCTGAGCACAAACCCAGGATATTCGCAGAACAGGTCTGTCTTCTCATTCTGGATCTCTCCTGGACTGTTCTGTCCATTGTTCGCGTGTCTGTCTGTCTATGTTCATGTCGGAATGCCTTTGCTCGTTTGCTCTGCCTGTCTGAATGCTTTACAGGACTGATTTCCATCGCTGATGTAGGATGATTTGTAGGTCAGAACTCACAGATCACAGATTTGATCCACTTGAGGAAGAGTAGCACTGAATTCTGATGCTAAAGCTGGACTATCTCAGAGGAGCATTTTATTGCTCAGATGTTACACCTTTTCAACTTTTCATCAAGTTTTCCAGTGTATTTTTATATTATATATATATATTTTTTATATATATATATATATATATAAGAATGCATTCTATTATGAAAGCATACTTTAACTTTGAGAACAATACATTGAAAAAATAGGGGAAAATAAATAATAAATAAATAATTGTATAAGCCCAAAACTTTAACATTTAACCACCAATGTCTGTTAAGTTTGGCCTTGGTAAGATTTTGTAATATTAAAAAAAAAATACAGTAAAAACAGTAATTTTGTGAAATATTATTACAATTTAAAATAACTGTTTTCTATTGGAATATATTTTAAAATGTATTTTATTTCTGTGACGCAAAGCTGAATTTTCAGCATCATTACTCCAGTCTTCAGTGTCACATGATCCTTCAGAAATCATTCTAATATGCTGATTTGCTGCTTAATAAACATGTCTTATTATTATAAATGTTGAAAACACTTATGCTGTTTAATATTTTTGTGTAAAACATTTTTTCATAATCTATTCTTTGATGAATAGAAAGTTCAGAAGAACAGCATTTATTTGAAATATATTTTTTTCTGATATCATAGATGTCTTTATGGGCACTCTTGGTTGATTTAATGCATCCTTGCTGAATAAAAGTATTAATTTCTTTCAGAGAAAGCTAGCCCAAAACATTTGAATGTTACAGTACTGTATTTCACATTAGAAGGAACCAATGAGAAATCTGTTATCAAAAAGAAAAAACATAAAGCTATAAAATTCATGTAACATAGTTCAGATCATTTGCTCTTGATGAGAAATCTCTGAAATCTCTGAGATTTGATTGCAGATTTTATATCTTGGCAAATCTGAGCACTGTTTGAGACACTCTTAGGGTTTTTTTCTCAGGCCAAAGTCTCCTTTTGCTCTCCATTTATTCTTATTGCTGTCTAGGAGAAACAATTTAGATATTATAGAAATCTTTCCAATGGGATAGTTCAAAAAATACAAGTACTTCAATACATAATGCATTTTTGAAGCATCATTTGCTCAGTGTCGCTTTACCTCGAGTGGAGAGATATTTAGTCAAGCATTAAACTCCAGTACCTCCTGTAGGGACGTCAAATGCTTCATGTTTCTTTCCATGCGTCATCCTTCTTTTTCCGCTTCTTTTTTATGCTTTGATTTCTCATGAATGGTGCATCGCTGTTCTGTATGTTTCAACAAACACCAAATTCTCAGCAGTTGCAGTCTGTGCACACGTCACTCGACCGCTCTGAGCAAACGCTCCAGCTGGATCTAAATCGGCTTCTGATTTGACTTTGAAAAGAAGAAAATCGATCATCTTCTTTCCTGACGAGATAAGATAAGATCAAACGAGTGAGCTGCTGCACGTATAACTGAGGGATCAGGAGAGCTGCTGAGTGGACAGAACCGCAGGCAGACGTTCAGCGCTGTCAGCACAGATTCTCCTGCAGAATACAATCAGCGTGTGAAAGAAAGCAGCTCTGTAGATGAAGCTCAGGTGGGCATCAGGAGATGTGTGGAAGAGGCGAAACTGCAGGGTTCCGGAAGGAAACATCTTTTTAACATCTATTTAACACATTTAGATTGCCCAAATGTGAGAAGAAAAAAAAAGATTCTGTCTGGGCCTTATAACATCCTTTATCCTGAAGTACTTCTTAGAAATGCATTTAATATTTAATATTATTAATTAATCTAATAGTATTAATTTACTTAATAATGTTTAAAAAAAATCTGTAAAAAGCTATTCATTTCATATTTGTACAGTTCAATATTTTTATCTATTCAGTTAATAATAAACATAATTTTAACACAATATTTGTATTTTTTGCACTGCCGGTCAAAAGTTTAAAATATGTTTTTTTTATGTTTTTGAAAGGAGTCTCTTATGCTTACCAAGGCTGCATTTATTTGATCAATGATACAGTAAAAACTGTAATATTGTGAAATCTTTTTACTAATGTAAAACTACTTCTATTTGAATATATTTAATATACTATTACATATAATAAATATATTATAAAATTATATTTTATATTATGCTATATATTATAAAAAATATAATAAAATGTTATATTATGGCATTTAATTTTAATATATTAAAAATAATTTATTTTTGAACTTTCAGCAGCCATTACTTCAGGTTATCATTATCAGTTATTACTGATGCTCCATTATAAATAATGGTTCTTATTATTATCAATGTTGACAAAATTTTTTCTGCTTAATCACGTGACACTAAAGACTGGAGTAATGATGCTGAAAATGCAACATTTCATCACAGGAATAAATTACTTTTTAAAATATATTCAAATAGAAAACAGTTCTTTTCAATTGTAATAATATTTCACAGTATTATCGTTTTTTACAGCAGTTTTGATTAAATCAATGCAGCCTACTTTAAACATACAAAAAAATCTGAATTATTCCAAACTATTGACGACCGGTAGGGTAAATAATTATAAAAATTCATGCTGCATTAAAACTGATTATATATTTTTCCAAAGCCACTCTGATTTCAGCAAGAGAGAAGTTTGTGTTTGTAAAGCGCCCTGGTTTTGAACTGTCCCGTAGTTTTAATGATGCGTCTCTGTCAGTTCTGTGTTTGCTCATGTGCTTGGCAGACGTTCACAAGCTGTCTGTTTGTTTTTGTTCTGCCGTTTTTCCTTCCACTTTTATTATGTCAGGTGCATTAAGCCAGTAGCATGTCCCTGTTCACAGATTATTCGGATTGTAAGAGTTGAAGAATTATTCTGTTGTATTTGTAGAGCAGAGTTTTGTTTAGCTTGTAGCTGCATGTTGGCTGCAAAATCATTATGATGACCAACATGGCACTGATTGCTTCAGCACAGATTTTGTTTGCCCTTTACTTATGTGGCAGGTTTGTGTGTGTGTTTTGATGGACATTTAAATGTTCGTCTGGGAATTTGTATGTGTTTTTGTGTGAGTGCGTGCGTATTTCCACATGCATGTCGATCCCGTCTCACAGACACACACTCCCTTTGCCTGCTGGGATTGTTGGACAGGCTCACACCCTCACATACACACGATTCTCTCCTCTCCTCTTCTCCTGTCGTGTGTTGATGAGATACGGTGATTTCTCTTAGGGGAGGCGGCAGTCCATCCTAGTGCAGCCCCGCCTTGCACCCGTCCCACTGCGAATGCACAGGTAACGACTCACCCGACTGTGACCCGCCCACTCCACCCCTGTCTCCTCCCACATCCACTGTATGTACACTGGACTCGTCCACACACACACTGCACCTCGCCTGCACAAAGTCATATGCACCTGTACTTCCCAGCCAGAGTTAATTAAACTAGAATAAATGTTGGCTTGCTCAAACCTGAGGGAAAAAGACTTTTAACAAAAAGAGTTTATGTAGGACTTATAGTTTGAGAAGTTTGAAGAGAGATTTGAAGATTCATACAGACAGACGTACAGACAGATGTACAGATAGATAGATAGATAGATAGATAGATAGATAGATAGATAGATAGATAGATAGATAGATGAAAGAAAGAATGAAAGACAGAAAGATAGGTAGAAGTTTGTCAGATTATGTTTGTTAAATTGTTTGTCAAGCCAACATAATAAATACATGCTGAGAAATCAGTTCTGCTGATGTAAAGTGAGACATTCTAGCAAATGATCTCCCACAGCTCTGTCTCAATCCACAGTCTTTGTTGTTCATCTTAAATTATCTTAAGTAAATGTGACATTCCACATAAACTTAGGATAATTCTGAACCTCTCATCACATTTGAAAAAAAAAAAAATCAGTTTGGTATT